ACATAATGTACAGACTAATTATGAATACTCTTGCTACTATATAGGCCACAGTGAAGAAAATCAAGAATTATTTAGTGAAGAAACTACAGAAAATCTACAATTATTCAGTATAGAAACTCAAGAAGATCTGAAACATGCTCTTAAAGAAAGTAGATCCATCAAGTATAAAGTTCGTGTAGCTATTATACAAGGAGAAGCTCGAGTTGGTAAAGCTTGTATTAAATCATTAATTCTTAAAATGCCATACAGTAAAGTCAGCACCAGCTTAATTGAAGCTCCTTGTATGGCATTTGGGAGTTTTTCCGTTAATCGATATGGTAGAACAGATGATAACAGATGGACACGAGTAACTGATGATGACTTGGATGGGATAGTTGTTGCTGAACTAAAAAAAATTGCATCCGGTTTAAAAATTCCAAATGAAATGATACAAAGTCCCACTGCTGCAAAGAGAACTCTAGAACAAAGTGATAGAGACATAGGAGCTATGTCTTATGCATCTGATAATGTTAATCCTACTCCTACAAGCTCAGAAGCAGCTCTAACCTCAAACGCAGTGCAAGATCTTAATACTGAAGACAGCGCAATGCCACTTGTTAATTTACCAGTAGAAGATATTGATGAGCCCATACCAGTACATGAAGAAAAGATGGATGTCAAAGTGCCTTTTGAATATGGTCTACAAAAATTTGACGTCCTTAAATATCTAAAAGAAAATCATCGCACTAGTGAAGCTGGTTTTGAGAGAGACTGGTTATACTTTTTTGATTCAGGTGGTCAAATACAATTTCAAAAGCTTTTATTAGCTTTTATGCCTTGTAGCTCAATCCTTGTTCTTGTGGTTAATCTAAGTAAAAATCTCAGTGATCCATCTTCAACATTAATGCAGTTATCTAATGACACAATTGATTATAATGAATATTCTCTACAAGTAGATGATATGCTAAGGCAAATTATTTCTGCTGTAGATTCAAATACCAAGCAGTTTAGATCAATGATGGAAGGTCAGCAACGTATTAAGCCACCTGAAAATGAAAAGCTTCAAGTTATAACTATTGGTACACATCGTGATATATACAATAAACGAGGAAAAGGAACAGAAGACATTCAAGCTAAGAGAGTGACATTAAAATCAATTCTACAATCTGAATCCATTCAAATTGCATATACAGCTGATGACGATCTCATACATGAAGTAGATGGCAGAAAGGCTGAACGTAGTGAGTTTGATGATGACCCAGTTATAGAAACTATAAGTAAAGCATTGAATGAACAAGCTTATGAAATTGAAGTACCATTTAAATGGCATTACTTTGGTGTTATTCTTCGTAATGAAGCAAAAGAGAATGAAGGAATATTAAAATTATCTTCATGTATAGAGTTTGGCAAAATACTAGGTATGCCAGAAAAAGAAGTAACAAGTGCACTGCAATTTTTTCATGCATTAAAATTGCTGTTTTATTATCATGATTCTCCAGCAAAGGATATTGTGTTTGTCAAACTGGACGCTGTCATTAACATTATTAAAGAACTGATGATTAAAGTTTGTAAGGATATGAATAAATTGGAAGTAGGTCCTGATGTTGTAGCTCAGTTAGCTAAAAAAGGTTATTTGTCTATTAAAGTTCTAGAAAAGAATGCTGGTGCACTTAAGGGAAATGAAAGAATACTTTTGGGTCTGTTTGTGCACCTTAAGATTGCAGCTTTGATACCAACAGATGAAAGTAATCAAACAAATGAAAAAGATCAAGTTTTTCTGATGCCTGCACTGCTTCCTGTCAAAGATGTCTCTGATCCTTCAAATTCTACCTTTCCTAAAACAGGTGAAACATCTCCTCTTCTTTATTATTTTAATGATGAACCAGTGCCTATGGGTCTGTTTTGTGCTGTTATTGTCCAGCTTCTTTCTTATCCTGGTGATGAAAAA